GCTTCAAATTGTTAGGTAAGTTCTTCTTCAGCTGCGGGCAGTCCCTCACCATGTGACCCGGCTGGTTGCAATGGAAGCAGGTCCCCGAAAATACTCGGGCTGCAAACACGTCCACGCCGTTAATTGATGTGTGTTAGGGCTGGCCTCGAAAGCGATTTCCCTCCCGAAAACCCGCTCTCGCGAGTCCACGTCGTGCGTCCCGTGCGTCTGCTATGCGAACTGTCTCGTTGAATGTCGTCGGGGCTCGCAGGACGATCTCTTGCTGAATCTCCGGCTTGAGACCACCCACGTAGCGATCGATGCGCTCGTCTTCGCTAAGCCCTCCGATTTGGTCGCGGATTGCCAGAAACGACGCTGTGTATTCTTTGACATAGCCCAACTGTCTACACATCCGAAGCTTTGTGCGAGCATTTTCGCGCATAGATATGTGCTCAAATATGCCCTTCAACGCTTCGCCCCACGCTTTCCACGTGCGGATCGTGGCCGATCCAAAGATCGGTTCTGCCTTCGCCGTTGATGAACTCTGCTCCCCATCTACCGCCCGTTGATTTCCTGCCGGGGCTCCTCCCTCGTCTAGATGCATGCGCCACCAATCAAGTGTCGGTCCCCTCAGCAGTGACACAGCCAAGTTGACACGTGATGCATTGTCATTAATACTTGCTGCCGTGAAGAAGATTTCCATTGCGATTAGCCACCCGCTCACTGTAGTTGTCCTGTCGGTCGAGTTGAACGGCGGAGGCATTGTTGGTTTGATTTCAGTAGTGTACGGCACATTGTGGACTTCTTCAACTGCTTCAGGTGTCGCCGACGCCCTCGCTTCGCTCGCAGCATCTTCGTTTCGTGTAACAGGCCGCCCCTGACGCATTTCACCCCGCGTTTGGCGAAGCGACGAGTTTTCGTTGCGCAGCGTCTTAACTTCGCTTCCCAGCAACTCGAACTTATCGGCGAGTTGTTGAAGCTGGGCCTGCAGTGTCGCCACTGTAGCCGCCCTGGCTTGCAACTCGTCAAACTCCTTCTGAGTCACGTTCCTATTTCAAACATGTGTATTTGTCATGTTTGTATAGACTGTATAGAGTCACCTCTTAGAGGATACAAAACTTAGATATATTTGTGTGTACTCTCACTTTACCATTTTATTCAATTATTTTGATATGGTATCACGCGTAGGTAGGATCCCCCCCCCCCCACCTACCGCTTCCGCTCATGCCCCCTAGCGCCCCTCCTGGGCCCCGTCGCGCTCCTCCCAGGCCCCGTCGCGCTCCTCCCAGGCCCCCTAGCGCCCCTCCTGGGCCCCATCGCGCTCCTCCCAGGCCCCGTAGCGCCCCTCCTGGGCTTCGTAGCGCCCCTGCCAGGCCCCGTCGCGCCCCTCCCAGGCCCCGTCGCGCTCCTCCCAGGCCCACTAGCGCCCTCCTGGGCCCCGTCGCGCTCCTCCCAGGTCCCGTAGCGCCCCGTCGCGCCCCTCCTGGGCCCCGTAGCGCCCCTCCTGGGCCTCGTCGCGCCCCTCCTGGGCTTCGTAGCGCCCCTCCTGGGCCCTGTACCGCCCTCCCAGGCCCCGTCGCGCCCCTCCCAGGCCCCGTCGCGCCCCTCCCAGTCCCTCTAGCGCCCCTCCTGGGCCCCGTCGCGCTCCTCCCAGGCCCCGTAGCGCCCCGTCGCGCCCCTCCTGGGCCCCGTAGCGCCCCTCCTGGGCCTCGTCGCGCCCCTCCTGGGCTTCGTAGCGCCCCTCCTGGGCCCTGTAACGCCCTCCCAGGCCCCGTCGCGCCCCTCCCAGGCCCCGTCGCGCTCCTCCCAGGCCCCCTAGCGCCCCTTCTGGGCCCCGTCGCGCTCCTCCCAGGCCTCGTAGCGCCCCTCCTGGGCTCTTTCGCGCCCCTCCTGGGCTCCGTAGCGCCCCTCCTGGGCCCCGTCGCGCCCCTCCTGGGCCCCGTAGCGCCCCTCCTGGGCCCCGTCGCGCCCTCCTTGGGCCCTGTAGCGCCCCTCCTGGGCCCCGTCGCGCCCCTCCCAGGCCCCGTCGCGCCCCTCCCAGGCCCCGTAGCGCCCCTCCTGGGCCTCGTCGCGCCCCTCCTGGGCTTCGTAGCGCCTCTCCTGGGCCCCCCCGTCGTGCCCCTCCTGGGCCCCGTAGCGCCCCTCCTCGGCCGCGTCGTACCCGTCGCCGCCGCCCGGCCCCGTCGTGCCCGCCCGGCGCCGTCGCGCCCGCCCGACCCCGTCGCCGCCGCCCGGCCCGTCGCGCCCGCCCGGCGCCGTCGCCGCCGCCCGGCCCCGTCGCGCCCGCCCGGCGCCGTCGCCGCCGCCCGGCCCCGTCGCGCCCGCCCGGCGCCGTCGCACCCTGCCCGGCCCGTCGCGCTCGCCCGGCCCCGTCGCAGCCGCCCGGCCCCGTCGCACCCGCCCGGCCCCGTCGCACCCTGCCCGGCCCCGTCACAGCCGCCCGGCCCCGTCGCACCAGCCCGGCCGCCGTCCCGCTCGCCCGGCCCCGTTGCACCGGCCCGGCCCTGCCGCACTCGCCCGGCCCCGTCGCCCCAGCCCGGCCCCGTCGCGCCCGCTCGCCCCGTCGCCCCGTCCCGGCCCTGTCGCATCAGCCCGGCCCCGTCGCGCCCGCCCGGCCCCGTCGGGCCAGCCCCGGCCCCGTCCTCCTCACTGGTACGGTCCCCCCCCCCCCCCCCCCCCCCCCCCCCCCCCCCCCCCCCCCCCCCCCCCCCCACCCCGCCCTGCTCCGTGCCGCCCTGCACCGCACTGCACCGCACTGTACCGCACTGCACCGCACTGCACCGCACTGCACCGCACAGTACCGCACTGCACCGCACTGCACCGCACTGTATCGCACTGCACCGCACCCCACCTAGCTGCACCGCCCTGCACAGCACTGGACTGTTCCTGATGGCGGCGGAGCTTCGCTTCGACGCTGAAGGTCAGCCCCTAGAGTTCGAGGCGTGGCTTGCCGACCTCCGCCGCCAACTCACTGGCCAGCGGCAGGATGGTGAACCGCTTTCCGCACACCTTGACGGTACGCTCCCCTGCCCAGACCCTCCTGCTATTCTGCCCGCTGACCCCACACCCACTGAGCGTGAGTCTACTGCTGCCACTGCCCGTGCGCGCTCTGTCTGGCTTTCTCGCGATGCTGTCGCCCAGCTTGCCATTAGCAACGCCCTCCCCCCGTCCGAGCGTCCTCGCTTTAGGTTCCTCACTACTGCTCAGGCATACTTAGATGCTGTCATCAAGCGCTATTCCACCCCTCCGGCAGCCTCGGTGGGTCGCCTGATCCTCCCGCTGCTCTTTCCTGACCTTGCTTCGTTCCCCACTGTCTCTGACCTCGCTGCCCACCTGCGCTCGATAGAGGAGACCTGGCGCGCCGCATGCACTGACGCACAGCTTAGAGCCCACCAGCCGCCCATTACCTCTACCCTCTACCTGCTTGCCACCCGCCTCCCTGACCGCCTTGCTGTCGCCCGCGACCGCTTCCTTAGTGTTCACCCCGCAGACCTCACCCTCACTGACTTTGTCGACACCCTGACTGTGATAGAGACCCGTCACCGCTCCATCGCCCAGGCGAGCGGTGTCGTGTCGGTCCCTATCTTTCAGGGTTGTGCCCCCGCTCAGTGTACCTTCTCCGACGGCTCTGCCGCAGTGGCTGAGACTGCTGCTGCAGCGCAGGCCCGTTCTGGGAAGGGCCGCCGCCCCAAGGCTGGGCGCGGCGGAGGGGGCGGCGGGGGTGCGGGCGGGGGTAGTGGTGGGGTCGGGTCGCCTGGTGCTGGAGCGGACGAGGGGACCCTGCCCAGTCCAGCTGAGTCGCCGCCCCTGCAGTTGCAGCAGCCGCAGCAGCCGCCACAGTCGCAGCCTTCGCAGCAGCCGCAGCAGCCGTCGCAGACGCGGCAGACGAGTGTTCTCCCGCCAGGGTGGCCCGGCGCTGGCGGTGGACGGGCGCGTGGTGGTGTGCCGCGTGGTGGCTCTGCCGGCGGGCGTTGTCAGTACCAGATCCAGACCGGTCCTCGCCGCGGTTTCTTTTGCGGTAAGATCGGTCACTCTACTCCCCGCTGCTTTCGTCGCCTGGACGACCTCTTTCGTCAGCGTTTCGGCCCGTCGCCAGACCTCCCGGACTGGCACAGTTTGCTTAGTCGTCAGATTCAGATCTTTGATATGGACATGGATGCCATTGTTTCTGCTCTGCATGTGATGTATGCTGATGACTCTAGTGTGCTTCCGACTTATTACTCACTGTTGCCTAGTGTAGGTGTGCCTAGCTTAGCCTCCCCTGCTGCGTCAGGCGTAGGATCCCCTGCTTTGTGTAGTCTTGGTGCTTCTGCCGTCGTTCCGTCGCCAGACCCCTCGGCTTCGCTTTCCTTCACCTTGGACTCTGGCGCCTCTCGGTGTTTCTTCCGCGACTCTACCACCCTGACGCCACCTCGGTGTTCTTACTACGACGGACAGAGGTTTCCGGCATGACAGACATGTTGGAAATTTTACCTGACAGATCTGAGGGTGCACAAGCTTTTAGTTGGATGAGCTTTAACGAGCTCACCTACCAACCGCAAGCCAACCCCCAATTCTGTCGGGTCCTTTCCCGATATAAACAGACTTCTCTACGGAAGTCTAAGCGAGCATGAACGGAACTCTGATACCAGCTGTTATGAATTGATCAGAGTAATAACAGGTAGTATAATAAAGGAGTCGTGATTCAAGAGTGTCCATACAAATGAAGGCCTAGGCATTTATAGGCACGAACAGAGCTAGCTGAGAACCACGCGAACAGGTTGGGGCGATCCGGTTGGCGAAAGCCACGGAAGAGCCGCGCGTCTAGGTTTGGGTTCACGAAATGGTTCGGGACCGAAGAAGTTTGTCGAGCCTGGACTTCCGAGAGTGGAGGGTGTACGCGCTGTAGTCGAGCCGAGTAAGGAAAAGGGAATTTCCTTACACTCACACCCCACAAGTTACAGCCCGAAACCCGAATACCCTGTTCAAGAACATTATTCTTGAAAGTTGCAGCCCCGAGATTTGAGTGGGATTTCCACTCGGTTTGTTCCGTCCACCGCCTTCATCTCTGCGTGCGCCCGCATTTGCATGGCCGCCCTCGTCGCGCTCTCTCCGCTGCCCTCCCCCCTCGCTCGCACTCGCACGGCTCACCTTCGCCGGGACCCTGCGTCCTTGTCCTTCCTGCTGCGCCCGGCCTCGCCGCATCCACCTGCAACCCGAAAGTCCACGTTAATCTACTCACCGCGCGCTGCTATGGCGTCTGCGCGGACGGCGCAGTTGGCGGCGGGGAAGGCGCTGGTGGTGGTGGGTTCTGCGAACGCGGACGTGTACGTGGAGGTGGCGCGCATGCCGCTGCCCGGCGAGACCGTCAGCGCCACCTCGGGGCGCACGCTGCCCGGCGGCAAGGGCGCCAACCAGGCGGCGGCCGCCGCCCGCCTGGGACACTCCACGTACCTCGTCGGACAGGTGCGCGCCCATAGGTCCCGCACACACCCACATGGGGGGCCTCACTCCGATCCCGCGCTCACCATCTCTCATTTCCTCGTGCCGCCTGACTTGTCCGCCCTCCGCCTGTGTGTGCGCGTGCCACTGGCCGGCAGGTGGGCAGCGACGCCAACGGCGCCATGCTGTCGGCGGCGCTCTCCGCTACGGGCGTGCACGTGGACCACCTCGCTGTGCTGGGCGTGCCCCCCGGCGCCGCCATGAGCGCCGGGCACCCGAGCGTGGTGGCGGCCACCAACGCCAAGGCGGACGCGGAGGCGGCGCTGGAGCAGGCGCACGCAGCGGCGCAGCGCGCCCAGCAGGCTGCCGCGACGGCCAGCAAGGAGGCCCAGGCCGCTGGTGCTGGTAACTTCCGCACAGGCGCTGCCGCTGCTGCTGCGGCGACAGCACAGGCAGAGGCAGAGGCCGCAGCTGCAGCACAGAGGGCGGCAGCAGCCGCTGCAAGGGCTGCCGCACAGGCAGCGGCGGCGGCAGACGGACAGAGTGCGGCTGCTGCCAGGCAGGCGGCATCTGCTGCTGCAGCGGCGGGTAGCGTGGCAGGGGGGGGTGGCGAGGGGAGTGTGGCGACAGGGCATGCGATCGTGATGCTGCAGGCGGACGGCAGCAACGCCATCATCATAGTGGGCGGCGCCAACATGGCATGGAGCAAGCGGCGCATGGAGGGCAGGGGCGCGGGGCGCAGGGAGTCGTACTTCAGCGAGGGGGCAAGGGAGGCGATCCGGGGGGCGGGCATGGTGCTGCTGCAGAGGGAGCTGCCGGACGATGTCAACGCTGAGGCTGCAGAGGTGCATGGGCGAGCGGGTGGCCAGAGCTGGGGTTGACGGGATTGAAAAAGATGTGGTAGGCAAGGAAAGTTAGAGGGTGTGTTGAGCTTCACGTGTCGCTCGCCACAGTCCTCATCTTCCTGATCCTTGCTCATCCACCTGCCTCCCTCGTTTGCGCTTGTTTGTCCCATCCCCCATGACCCCCCTCTGCGCGTTCCAATCCAGGTGGCAGCTGCAGCGGGGGTGGCAGTGGTGCTGGACATGGGTGGCATGGAGGGCGCGCTGCCGGACGCCATGGTGCGGCGTGTGGCGGTGCTGAGCCCCAACGAGACGGAGCTGTCGCGCCTCACAAACCTGCCCGTCACGTCCCTGCCCGAGGCCGAGAGGGCTGCGCACTCACTGCTCGCCAAGGTGTGCTGCACGCCTGGTGGACTGGCACACTGGTGCAAGCGCAAAGGAGGCACCGTGATGTCACAAACTGACTTGCTGGAGCACTGACCATACGAAAAGCCATGCGTGGTCCCCCGCCAAGTGATATGCTCTTTACAATGGAATGAATAGTGTCCATGTGTCAATTCCACCTTCTTACCAATCTTGCCTCTCCTGTACTCTTTTGTGCGCCTGCGGCCGTTGCTCTATGCATCCACCTCTTTCATTCACCAGGGAGTTCCCAAGGTGCTGGTGAAGCTAGGCAGCAGTGGCTCCCTGCTGGTCTCCTCCTCCCCTCTCGCTCCTCCCTCCTCCTCCTCGCCGCTCTCTGCTTCTCTTTCCACGGCCACGGACGGGACGGGCCGCCAAGTGTGGCACCTGCGGCAGCCAGTGGTGCCAGCGCACGCAGTGGTGGACACAACAGGGGCCGGCGATACCTTCACCGCCGCTTACGCCGTGGCACTGCTGTCGGGCTCATCGGACGCTGATGCGCTGCTCTTTGCTTGTAGGTCATCTCAACGGAGGTGGGAGGGAATTAGAGAGAAATATGCTTTCGTCGGATCTTTTCCACTTTGCATGGTTGGTGGTGACCCCATTGCCACAGTTATGGTTCTGTCCTTGTCTTGACGCATGGCTGCTGTGCGTGTGTGCCTGGTTTCCCTGCAGCCTGTGCGGCGTCGCTGTGTGTGCAGAAGAAGGGAGCCATGCCAAGCCTCCCAGACCGGTTCTCTGTGCAATCATTGGTACAACAATCACAAAACTCTTGGTGATTGGCACCCTTGAGTCATGACTAGGTCAAGGCGTAATATGCTAGACTCTGATGGTCTCGACAATCGGGATATAGACTCGTCACTTAACAGTTCAGGTCGTGCTTTTGCCGCATGCCCTTGTTCTAGTGCGTAAATCAACTTCGTTTTCTTGAACATTGGGATTTAGTTTGTTTGACTGCTGATCGCGCGTTGCAAAGGTGAACATAAGCGGGGTATACGATGCAAGCGAAATGATATTGAATTCACCTAAATGTGGTTACCGTATGTGTACAGTCTGACACATCTGCAGGAAACGACAAATCGCTCAGCATGTACAACTGAATTTGGCTTGGGGTGTGGTGGTTTGGTTTCCCCCTCCCCATCGCTCACATCGTGTTTCCGTTCCGCGCATCCTCCCCTCCACACCCCCCTTGCCTTCTGGTGCGCGCAGGGGCAGTGCTGCTGCGCGCGCCAGTGGGGCTGCCGGCACCCCACGAGGGGTGGCTTTTGGTGGTGGGTGGCGGGAAGCGGAGTGGGCGCGCCAGCCGGGCGGAGCACACACGACATTCGGAGCAGCAACCCACATCTCGCTCATCCCCCACAGCGCTGCAACCGAGGAAATTACCAAAACTTTCCTTTCCTGTTTCCAATTCCTTTCGGAGTGACATATCCGCGCCCCCCTGCTTGAGCACGACCCGAATTTCTTCTGGAGGAAAAAACAGCGATGTAGTATTCACACTTACAAACAAGTGTCACACTTCAACGGCAAAGAAAATAAAACCCGAAGGGGCCCCGGATGCCGTTGGGGTGGCATCAGCCCTAAACTCCCACCCCCTTGTGAGGCTTCGGGGTTGATGCCACCCTGAACGGCACCCGGTCCCGTATGGGTTTTTTTTTCCAACTTGTAACTGTAACATCCGACCGTGGCGAAACAGAATAGATAGTGTAAATACGACCTGGTTATTTTTTTTCCCTTGCAAAAGGAATTGGGGTCGTCCTCGAGCAGGGCTCCGCGGATATGTCACTCCGAAAGGAATCGGAAACGAGAAAACAATGTTTTGGTCATTCCCTCGCTGCAACCCCTTAGCTGCTTCTGGTTGACCTTCCACCATTGACCGAGCAAGCGAGCCCTTGGCTGCGATTCAATGGAGTAGTCACGTGTCCTTCCTTCCTCGCCGCCATTTGTCACCCTACGCAGCACTGTCGAGTCTTCCCCCGCAGAATTTCCGCAATGACCGCCGCCATTTCAGCGCCATCCTCCAAACTTTCTTCTCGAGGCTGGACCTTTTCAACTACTGCCGCCTTGGCCTGCTGCTTCTCCGGCGCGCCCGCGGACCGTGACTGCGGGGATCGCGGTGAAACGCCGTGTGCGGCGGCGCCATCGTACGCAACCGTGGTTGTGTGCGATTCTTTGACGCGTGACGGCGTCCGCGATAAAAGCAGCATCGCGTGTGCCGCATTCTCAGAGAGTGAAGTCGTCAGTGCAAATGGCACTCACAAATTCCGGGGCGCGAGCCCTGAGGCTGCGAGTGGCAAGGGCGCTACTGGTGGGCGATCTGCGTGTCATGGGGGCGCGGGGGACAGCGGCACTGCGGAAGCCCGGTCGGGAGAGCCCGCCGGTGGGCACAGAAAGCCGTGGCTCTCCCGCGTGCTTTGCGGGATCCGCCGCAACCCTCGTCGGCAGTCAGGCGACGGGCAGCGAGACGCCGAGATAGCCCGGGGGGTGGAGGGGGGGGGCGGGGAGGCAGCGCTCGCCCCAGGCGAGGCGCGGGACGTGTGGGAGGCGGCGGAGACCGGCGGGCTGAGCGCGTGGATGGGGCCCGCCGTGGCGGCGGCAAACGCGGCGACGGCTGCGCTGGGGGACCTTGTTATGGGCAGCAGTCGCTTCTGCTTCCCGTCCCACCGGGGCTTCCCCACCCGCACCTTAAGCCGCACGCGCAGTGGCGGCCACGATGCCGCCGCGACTAGCGGGCTTCTCGGGCGGAGCGGGGGGAGCTGCTCGGGGAGGAGCGCGAGCGTGCAGCAGAGCGCGGATGGTGACGGGCATGGTGGCGCAAGCGAAGGGGGGGCCTCGCAGGCAGACGCATGGGAGAAGAGCGAGAGGCACGGCGCGGCGGCGTGGCAGGAAAGCGGAGCGAGTGTGGACGAGCCGTCGGGGCCTCAAGTGCTCTCGCTGGCGCCTGATACTAACGACGGCAGCGCGAACGGCGGGGGCCTGGTGGGCGGGGAAGCGGTGATTGTGGCGGAAGCGGAAGAGCGCATCGTGGGGCAGAAGTCCGACGCTGACGCGCGCGCGGATGCGGATGCGGATGCGCGGGGAGCAACTCAGATGGGCGTAGACCTGCAGCCGGCGGGCGGGCACGGCGAATGGCCATGGGGCGCGGGGAAATGCGGAGATGAGGGGAGCGACCCGGTAGCGGGTTCAGAGAAGCGATTGCTTGCGCGAGAGCTGAAAGGTGATGGGGGGGGTGCGGAGGGCGGTAAGGCGGGCAAAAACGGGTTCTCAGCAGGTGCAGGTGGGGGCAGTGCTGCTGGCGGGGCTACTGGCAGCGGCGCGAGGCTGGCAGGCAAGCCTGTGAACCGCGCGTGGCACCACAGGGGCACGTCGGAGGGCGAGGGGGCGGGCGCGCGCCCCTCCTCCAGCAGTGGTGCCGTCAACGCGTCCCCCATGCCTCCCCTGCCGCCCCGGCCCCAGTCGTCCGCAGCTGTTAGGGATGGGAAGGGCGGAGCGGAGGGGGCTCGGCAGGTGCAGGGCGGGGGAGATGTACAGGTGCTGCGCATGGACTGGGGCTGCGGCGGAGAGGCGGTGGGGGTGGTGCGACACGGGCGACAGCAGCGCAGGCAGCTGCAGGCGCAGCAGGAGAAGGAGGAGGGGGAGGGGGAGCACGTGGAGCAGAGTGAGGAGTTGCACACGGTGCATGAGGGCGCGGCAGACTCTCACCGCATCGGCGCAGCATTGGAGAGTGGCGCTGGCAGCGGGCGAACTTCTAGAGGGGACGGCAGGGAATCGTGTGTGCGGCATGCTCGCTCGCGCTCCATGGCGCCTGCACTGCCGTCGTCGTCCACGCTCGTGCACATCCACTCGTTCCAGCAGCGCGTCCGCATGTTCACCCACTCCTCCACCTCCTCTGCTTCCCCCACTGCCCGGCCTCCCCCCCCGCTCCCTGCCACCGCCGCCTCACTGTCGGCAGACCGCACTTGCATGCGCACGGCCAGTGCTCCCCTGGCCGCTGTAGGGTGGCCAGGGCACGCAGCGGAGGCAGGAGCACCCATGCTGCAGCCAGCAGTGCCAGTGCAGCTGCTGCAGCGACCCCGTTCCGCTGGGGGACGCACCACCCACTGCAGCTGCCTCAGCTGCAGCGCGGGCAACAGTGCTGCCCTGCACCATAGCACTGCCTCCCTTGGTAGCTGCACGCGCGACCGAAGCAGCGACAGCTGCGGGCTGCTGAGCGAGCCATGGGGCAGCGATACACAGCAACCACTACAGCCTGCACCACCAATGCCTGCCCCCCCTGCTCTTGATCCTGGCGTTGACACCCTGGTGCCCCTGGCCCCTCTGTCTCCCGCGCTCGCCAGGAGTGGAGTGCATCGCGCTGTTAACACGGGCACGGGTCGCAGCTCTGTAGCAAGGAGCAGCAGCGGGAGTGGTTCCGTCAGAGTTGCGCGCCGATTCGCGGACACGGACGGGCACAGCACCAACTCCCCAACCACCTTCCATGAGTCTCCTGGCCCCTCCAACCGCAGCCCCATGCGACCCCCCCGCTCGCCCATCCCCTGGGAACAGCCCAGTGCCACCATGGGAGCAGCCGGCCCTGGAAGAGGGGGGCCAATGCAGTCAGCTTTGGGACGGCAGGGCAGGCAGGGGGCGAGGAAGATGAGGCGGTGGGCGAGTGAGGACTTCAGGGATGCCATGGGGGTGGGGCAGTCGCCAGGGGGTGCGAGGCAGGGAGGGGAAGGGGAGGAAGGGAGTGGGAGTGAGCAAGGGGCAGGCACGATCAGAGGTACTGCCCCGTGGGCTAGCAGAGGTCAGATCGTGGGCAATGGGGGAGAGTCGGTGCAGCAGTTTGAGTGGATGGGGGAGGAGCGGGGGTCAAGGTGGGCATCTGAGGCGGCTGGGTCTCCCATGGCCAGTGGTGATGAGACTAGGGAGCAGACGGGCAGAGAGCATGAGAGGAGGATGAGGAGGAGGGGAATGGGGCAGGGAGCATGGAGAGAGAGGGCACCAGGGGCGGTAAGTGGTTGGGAGGAGCTGGAGTTTAGCAGTGCTGGGAGTGGGAATTGTGACAGTGGGGGGGGCAGTGGCCATGCGAGAGTAGGGGCAGGCCCTCAGGTTCAGGGCAGCAGGAGGCTGCAGAAGCACAGGTCAGCGCCCATCAAGAGCTTAGAGCATGTGCTGGTGGGTAAGGGGGCCGGAGGAGACTGTGGAGATAGCATGAACATGAGTGTGAGGGTGGATGTTGGTGCTGGGTTGATGGATGATGCAGATATGGAGTTCATGAGCAGCCATTGGCCGCTGCCTGCACTGCAAGGGCGGGCTAGCCCACGTGTCTCCGTGACACATAAAGGTTTTTGATTTTCTGTTGGTGTTGTAAGTTTGATGGTATTCTTATATATTAACTATTTTAGCGACGCTGCAAGGTTGTTAAAACATTGCCAACCTCCTCGAAGTGCATGCTTTATCGAGGCTGGCCTTCCTTTCTGGCTGTTATCACACGTGATCTGGGATGCAACCAGCTGTTGGGATGACATATTTTCCTGGGGAGTAATTAAAGGTAGCCCGACCCGAACTCCATAGATCTCCTGGCTCTCAAGGCCCCCGGCATGTTGCACCTCCCAGTTGCAGAAAGTTAGTTGGTTAGGATGGAGCGTGTAGTGCTGTCGGGTGCGACGCTCGCGTCGTTAGTGCATGGACTGGCTGCTGGAGAGACCGATGGCTTGCTCCTTGGCCACCTGGAGCAACGCAGCACAGCTGTTTACTCTGACGCGCAAGGGGACGATGGGCAAGTCTCGCGCAATGATTTCTGTATAGTCGTCACTGGATTTCGCTCGACTGGCCGCCTCTTAAGCTTCTACGACGGAACGGGTACTGTCGACGTCAATCGAGTGCAGCTGCTTCTGGACACCCCGGAGAGTGAGAGACTTACAGCCGCTAGCGAAGAACGACGGAAGGCAAATATTTCCGCCTCTACCAATACCTTAGGTACCTGGGCTGGGTCTCACGAGTGTGTCGTTGGCTGGTTTGTCCGACGTGCCAATTCACCCCTTCAGCCGTCCATGCGAGAGGCTGCGGTGACCGCACAGCTTGACGAGCTGCGTCAAGCGCTGCAGTCTGGAGATAACCAACGGCAGCAGGTATCAGACATGCGAAATAAAGAGGATCGCGGGGGTCAAGGAGCAGCTGATTACAGCGACGCTGGCATGCACCCACAACGCGACTGGGGGAAATCGATCAAGCTTCCAGACGTGTCTATGAAGACTTGGTTTAGCACTTCAACCCGCCCTATCCTGTGCATCTTCAACTCGCAGTGGGATTCTACCAGATCCAAGCATACTCTGCACTACCTTGCCTACGCTCTTTCTCAGGAGTTTTCTCCGACTTCCTCTCTCTCCGCCTCTGTTTCAAACACTCTTTCGCTTCTGCCACTCCCAGTTTCGGTGGCAAACCTAGGACTTGCCCATCGCCCCTCCTTCCCCACCTTCCTTTCCATGGCCCTGCCTCCCATACAACCGTACACCTCAAGTATTGACGTAGCTTCCACAGCCAATGACTGCAACGTTCAGCAGCTACAGTGGGAGGAGTTGCAGCATACGGGTAGAGAGCAGGTGGCTGCACTTGAAGGTGCATTTGAAGGGTTGCTGTCAAGGCTCGAAGCCAGTGCAGCAGCGGCTGCAGATAGTGCTCTCGCACTGGTGTTGGAGAGGTAGGTTGGTACTTCTTCTGCTTAGAGGCAAAAGTACTCGCTTGTTTGTGGGGGTGATTCTTGCATGAATGCAACTCGACACAACTGTTTTAGTCGTCAATGTACATACCCCTGCCATTGGTGACAATTTCTGCCTGAGGTTCTCCCCTTAGTGTCTCTCTCATGCTATCTGTTGGGCTGAGAAAAGCCCTTAGGATCTTTTCAGAGACTAAGTCCCAGTTGATGAGAAATTTTTTTGTAGTAAAAAAAAATTTACAGATTGTGATTCGACTAGAAGAGGAGTTTGCTGTAAAGGAGACAAACTCCTTCATCTATCGGCAGGTCTTTCAGACCTGCCACCTAGTCTCATTTGCATTTTTCTGTTCCAACTTGTATACCACCAGCACACTCTAAACCTCTATGCCCAGATCTGGGCATAGAAGTCTCTTGCTGCAAGACGTTATTTCTGTTAGATACTCTACAATGGTTAGCGGACTCATTTCCGCTGCAGCAAGTGGTAGGCCTCCTGCTCCTCGTGTGAATACTAGGAGTGGTGGAAGGCGTGGGTCCCCTGTACGTGAGGGGGACCGAAACTCTTCATCTCAGCATAGAGAACGATCTCGTTCTCCTCGTCCTGGCGGAGGTAACGGCGCAGTTACCGCTTTGGATTTGCTGAGTGGCGCGCGTCCAGACCCTGTTCAGCACGTCGAAAACGCGGCAGGGGACGCGGATCGTAACACGTCACGCAATCGCGATTTCCCCCCCGGATTTCAAGGCGAGCGGCGTAACGAGCAGAACCGCGTCGACACGAACCCGACTGCCGAAAACGCCCCCTCCCGGCCCCCACCTACCGAACGCAATCATGACGGTCCTGCGCGCGAGGACCACAATCATGATCGTGATACTGCGCGCGCAGGGCGTCATCATGAGCGCGATCTCAACGCCCCAGCGCCCCAGATTCGCCAGGATCGCCAGGATCGGGACCGGGATCGCGCAGATCGCCGCACAGATTTTGCTCCTGCCGCAGTGAATCCGCGCGGGATTCCGCAGATCTCGACCCCTGGAGCAGCAGAAATCGCCGAAATGATTGCGCGCCTGGATCCTGCAGCCCAGCGCAATCTCCAGCGAATCTTCACAGGAGCTGCTGGCGAACGCGTTACAGCACGCTCCACTGCATCTACAGCGCCTCATTCTGCAGAACATAATTCTGCTCGCTACACCGACAACAATGTTAACGCCGGCACCAACAACGAGGCCATTCACCACGTTCTTGGTCTTCTCGCGGCGCTCCAGCGTGGCAATGGCGCCGATCCCGCACCGCCACCGGAACCAGCACGCGTCGCAGCGACGGTGGCCCCACGCTCTCGCCTCCCGGCGCCCGCCCCCGAGCCCGTTGACGACGAAATGGACGAGGAAGCACCCCATGCCACGCTCGACGAAGGTAATGCCGCCCGCCCGAAATCCGCTTCTGCATCGCTCACCCTCGCTCCTATTCCACCTGCACGTCCTCAGTTGCGCTCTTCCTTAGTTAAAAGCGATGGAATTCGTACGCAACTTTTTAGTTTTGAGCGCATTCAAGCTATTGCACGTCATGCTATCTCGGTTTTACCACTTGACGGTGGAGAACAAGCCGCCGACTATCTCCAGCAGATAGTAGAGGAGGCGGAAGAGAAGATTCATTTTTTGTTTACCGCCGATCAACGCGGTTTCGAAGTGGCCAATATGGCCCTTAAGATTAAGTATGGGGAAGTGGTAGAGGATAAGAATGTGAAGGCCGCTTCTCAGATTGTAGCGGCCAGCAAGAAGAGGCCCACTCGGCCCACCCATCCCACCTCCCGTCCTGAACCCCCTCTTCGCCCTCGCGGCCAAGGGGAGCGCCTTTGGAACACATGGCGTAGGGACGGCGACGGCCGTTGTTTCTATTGCCGTGAACCCGGGCATGGGATGGCTAATTGCCCCCAAAGGGGCCAAGGGGCCAATCGGCCAGCTAAGATTGTGTAAAGTTTGCTTAACCTCTCCGATGTTGTAGCGTTCTTAATTAAAAAAAAAAAAAAAACACACACACACGCACATTTGTGCATTCAAGCAAGATTAATACGCGCGTCATACGGCCACATGGTCTTGCACGTTGGGCCCGTGCAAGAAGACGTGAGCGTGCCCACAAGACGCATACACAATGTGTGTGCGTCCTTTAAAGACTGACGTTGATAAGATTCATCACAAGATTTCTATGTCCATCGCAAAAAAAAAAAAAAAAAAAAAAAAACCGTATGCTCGCAAAACGATTGCGTAGCATTTGCGCAAATGCTTTGCAAACGTTTTGCGAACATGTGGGTGAACACTCCTGGCGGACTAAGATTAGAACACTTGGCAAATGCTTTGGCAACATTTCCCGAAACACTTTTTGGTTCACGACAAGGAATATATGACGACCAACTACAGCCCAAAATGCCAAGTTCACATTCCCAACCCATAGTTTATCACTTAAGGGATGACGTGGCCGAATAATAGCGAGCAAGCGGGCACCTATATCTAGCGTTTGCCTTCCTTCCAAAAAAAAAAAAAAAAAATCGTTGCGTTCGGAACTACATGAGGTACCTTCCTGATTCTCTACCGTCCCTATTTGTGTTCCCTCTCCTACCAGAGCTCGGAACCATTTCGGCCTATGCCGATGACGCAACCAAGATTACCCGCATGCAAGGCCGCCTCCGTGACCGCGCTGCATGGTGGTCCGCCTGGTGCGACAGCCGCTTGATTCTATCGGTGATTACATCTGGATATCGCCTACCATGGGTTGCCTCTGAGCCCCCTCCGTCTCGTACTAAGAACCATGCCGGTGCTTTGCAATTCACCTCTTTCGCCGTAGGCGCAGTGGCCGAGCTTCTCGCCACCGGCGCAGCTCGGGTCGTTCCTCCTTCCACAACCCTCACATGCGTTAGCCCCTTAAACGTGATTGTCCAACCCTCAAAAAAGAGACTGATATTGGATTTGCGGCATGTCAACTCATTCCTCTCAGTACCTCGTTTTCGATACGAAGGACTTACTCGCGTTCCTGATTTGGTGCAAGAAGGCGATTGGCTATTCACGATCGATCTCAAATCTGGATACCACCACGTCGACATTCACCCCGCTTTCTGGCAGTTTCTCGGATTCTCCTTGCAAGGGCAGGACTACCAATTCCTCTCTTTGCCTTTCGGGCTGGCTACAGCGCCGTTTGTGTTTACCCAGTTAATTAAGCAACTCGCCAAACGCTGGCGTAGCCGTGGCATCCGCCTTATTCCATACGTCGATGATATCCTATTCATCAGTGCCACTCGAGCGGAGGCTCTTCACAACCGCTCCATAATCATTGCCGACCTCGCAGCCGCGGGCTTTGTTGTGAATTTCAAAAAATCACAACTCGCACCGGCACAATCTTTGAAGTTCTTGGGCCTCTTGCTGGACACGCGCACCACCACTTTCTCGGTCGATGCGGATCGGCGCAACCGGCTTTTTGCCGAGCTGGATGAATTAGGCACACTCGGCATTAACGGGCGTCGCATCCCTGTTCGCCGCGCTGCCCGCATCACCGGCATGTTGGCCTCCATGTCCTTGGCGCTTGGCACTGTCGCGCGCGCTTTCTCCCACCACCTTCTTACGCAGATCGCCGAATGCCACTCATGGGGGGCGGCCATTCTCCTCACCCCTGAGTCTGTTGAAGAATTGCGATTTTGGCTTACACAGTTCGACGTTTTCAACGGCGCCCGCTTCCACAACCCGCATTTGTACGACGTGGTCATGTACGTGGATGCTAGCGACCATGCTTGGGGGGCTTGTTATTCAGCGCCGGATGGTCGTGTCGGCTCGCTCTCCTCCCCGCTGCCTCTAGCCCTCTTGGGCTCGTCCAGTACCCTTCGCGAGCTGGCCGGAATCTTTTGGTCCCTTTCGGCCTTTTCTGTCGAAATCCGACGTTCGCACATCTTGCTCCGCAGCGACAGTCAGGCGGCCTACTACATCCTCCAGAACGGAGGCTCTCGCCGTCCCGAGCTTACCTTCGTATGCCGCGCGATTATTCAATTGTGCGTGCGCCATATGATCCGTCTTACGGTCCAATGGATTCCCCGTGCGCTGAATACCGAGGCTGACGCTCTGTCCAAGATTGAGCTCCACGACGACTACTCCTTGACACGACCTTGGTTCCGGCTGCTTGAGAGGCATTGGGGGCCTCATACTATCGACTTGTTCGCATCCCCTGCCAATGCGCAGCTCGCTCGTTTCTGCTCCCTCGAGTTCTCACACTCTGCGGTTGCGCAAGACGCTTTTTCTATCAATTGGGGCCACGAGAATTGCTTCGCCTTTCCTCCACCCACCCTCATCCCGGCTGTCCTAGCTCATGCCCGTCGCTCGCGCACTTCTCTCACTCTCGTGATCCCATATTGGCCCAGTGCCTTTTGGTGGCCTTTGCTAAGCTTGGACGGCTCCACTTGGGGCCCGGAGGTCGTTATGGCCCTTCGCCTTACCCTTGGTGCTAGTTGTTTACGCGTTGGCAGTGACCGTCATGCCTTTAGCGGTGCTGGTCTTCCGAACTCTCCGATGTATGCGCTTCGTTTTGCATTCAACTAATGTATCAATTTATTTCACTGCGCAGGCTCATATATTGGTCGATTATTGTCGGACCTTCTCACACTCACCGTTGATCTTCGGGCGAAGTCTACCCTTCGCACTTACGAACCCTACTGGCGACAGTTTCGAGCCTTCTGTTTGGCGCACTTACTTCCCTTCCTTCCCGCCACCGACCTGACAGCGTCCCTCTTTCTGCTGCACTCGGTCCGTCGCGGCGCTACTGTCTCAGCTGTGCGCACTGCGTGTTCCGCCATATCCTGCGCCCATTGGCTGGTTGGCCACCCCTCCCCGATTCGCGGCCCCTTTTCTTCGCAAGTCAAGGATTATGCCATGCGTCATTGTGGCAAGCCATCTCAAGCTAAGGAGCCCATTCCTCCAGCCAAGATTTACGATATCTGTGACATCTACTTCTCATCGCATGATCCGGCCACATTCCAGCGGGGCCTTATTCCCCTCCTCATGTTCGCAGCCTTCCTTCGTTTCTCTGATCTCGTCTCCCTCCAGTGGCACCAGATCGAGTTCGATCGGGACTGCATGTGGTTGTTCATCCCTCGTTCGAAGACCGACCAAGCTGGCACCGGTGTTTGGGTCCCAGTGGCTGCTTCTTCTGC